GCTGCCATCCCATGTGTCTGATGGTGTAAGAATCCTGCCCACCCCGTGCCCCCCTCTCTTCCTATTCATGCAGCTATGCAAAAGGGGGGGGAAGCATCTGTCTTCCGATCAATTGTCATGGTTGAGTCTCATTAAATCATTTTTAGAAGAAAAGAAAAAAAGAGAAAGACTTTGCTTACGCTCAACCAGAAAACAAACAAACAAACAAACAAAAAAACCACTCTAAGCATTCTGCTTAAGCAGAAACTATATAGGCAGCCAGATTATAGGTCATCTAAGGTGACCAAGATGATCAAGTAATGGATAGTGTCATTTTTGCTCTATAACATTAGGAAGGCCTGGAGGAACGTTGTCCATGGGGTTGCGATGGGTCAGACACGACTTCGCAATTAACAACAACAACATTAGATTAGACTTGAGAAGTCAATCTCATCTTTGTCAAACACAAATGTGTTGGGTAACCACCAGTATCTCTTGGTCTGATTCATTTTCAGAGGCCTGAGGTGAAGCTGAGTTTGCATGGAAGAAGGCAACCATCTGTTTTTCCTTAAATTTAAGGCCAGCCTTATTATTCGGTTAAGTAAAACAACTGCTTTACTTAAGGAAGGAACAGAAGATGGGGTAAGATGGTAACTGAGGGGTCCCTAGTGCTCTCTGAGCTTGGTTGTTTTTTTGCAGATGTTTCATTACCTAAAGTAGATAATGAAACATCTGCAAGAAAACAATCAAACTCAGAGAACACCCAGGGCCCTTCATTTCAACCCTGAGCTACAAATATTTTCCTTTATTGGTAAGATGGTAACTGCCCAGCAACTGTCCTGATCTCTGTATGCTGGGTTGTTCCCTGCTATGATAGTTGCAATAAACCACAATTCTTTGCATTCAGACATTATGGAACCTCTGTTTTGTGATTTGCATGCTTTTGTAAATGAAAAAGATGTAACATCAACCTTTCACTCAGTTTACTGATGTTTTGTAAGCATCTGCCTCTTAAAACATCCATTGTTTAATATTTCTACAAAGTCACTCAAAGTACAAAAAATCGGAGTTATGATCATGATGCTGGCAAAAATAAGACAATGACAGAGAATAATTATATCTTCAGAAAAGTTAGAAAACACGTGTTGGATTGTTGAATTCTCCAAATTAGTGGTTTGGGATTGCAAATGTTTTATCACGATACTAAATATTGGTTGATTAATGACTGTAATAAAGAATATTTATCTCAGAAGAGAAAGGGCCAATAAACTATTGGCTGAGAAGGGTTAGAAATAACTTTTACTCTTATCAGCTGTGTGCATATTTTTTTATCTTTGTTGGTTTAGAACTGCAACCAAACAAGACAGACAGATTTCAACGGATAGTTAGAACTGCAGAAAAAACAATGGCTACCAGCCTGCCTTCCACTGAGGACCTGTATACTCAAGACGACGCTACAGGGCATTGCACACCAGAACGACTAGACATAAGGACAGTTTTTTCCCCCATGCCATCACTCTGCTTAACAACTAATTCCTACAATACTGTCAAAATACTAGTAAAGCTGTATTACTATGATACTCCTCACCTTTCCTATTACCTATCCTTATCTTCTTTTGACTATAACTTTGCTGCTTGTATCTTACAATTTATATTGGTTTTTTTGGTATCCTAGTATGATTTAAGTTGTTTGCTTAGCTAGTACTCTATGACTATCTCTAAGTGTTGCATCTTATGATTTATGATGAAGTGTTGTATTTCACGATTTATGATGAATGTATTTTTAGGTTGTATATGATCATGATTATCACTATTACTTGTATGTACACTGAGAGCTTATGCACCGGAAACAAATTCCTTGTGTGCCCAACCACACATAGCCAATAAAGAATTATATCTATTCTATCTATGTTCCAGCCAGCTTGGTATAGTGGTTAAGATGCTGGCCTATAAACCAGGAGATTAGGAGTTCTAGTCCTGCCTCTGGCATGAAAGCAGGCCGGGTGAAAACATGAGTTCTAGTTCCACCTTAAGCATGAAAGCCAACCGGCTTAGGCCAGTTACTCTCTCCCAAACCAACTCATGTTAGTGGGTTGTTATGGGGGGGGGGGGGAAGAGGCGGAAGGAATATTATGTATGTTTGCTGCCTTGAGTTATTTGCAAGATCATAAAGGCCAGATGAACATCTAATAAACAAACAAATAAACAAACAAATAAACTAATTAAAAAGTCAGCTAATGGTTGATAGAAAGAGAAGACCAGGGTTTACAATTTTTGTTTCTTGAGATGGTATATTTTGGTAAATATACTGGAACCATTGCAACATTGTATATTCTGTTTTATTGTCATATTTTTAAAACCATCACCCAACAGATCTTAAACAATGTTGCCTTCTCTTTATGTCAGGATAAGAATAATAGAATTGGAAGGGACCTTGGAAATCTACTAGTCCAACCCCCTGCTCAAGGAGAAGGCCCCATATGTCAGACAAATGGCTGTCCAATCTCTTCGTAGGACATTAGTTTAATATTCCTGTCAATATTGAGTTGCATCCCTGTTTGAGGATCTCCTAGCAGTTAGCACTAGCACTTAGACTTATATACCACTTCACAGTGCTTTAAAGCCCTCTCTAAGCAGTTTACAGGATCAGCATCTTTCCCCCAACAATCTGGGTCCTCGTTTTACCAAACTGGAAGGATGGAAGGCTGAGTCAACCTTGAACCAGTGAGAATCGAACTACTGGCAGTCATCAGAATTAGCCTGCAATGCTGCATTCTAACTATTGCACCACCATGACTCTACAAAGATGAGGAGGTCAAACTATTTTTCAAAGCACCAAAAGGCAGGACAAAAAACAATGGATGGAAACTAACCAAGGAGAGAACCAATCTAGAACTAAGGAGAAATTTCCTAATGGTGAGAGCAATTAACCAATGGAATAGATTGTCTTCAGAAGTTGTGCGTGCTCCATCATTGAAGGCTTTCAAAGAGAGACTGGACAACCATTTGTCTGAAATAGTAGAGGGTCTCCAGCTTGAACAGGGGATTGGACTAGAAGACCTCCAAGGTCCCTTCCAACTCTATTTTTCTATGTTCTATTCTATGTTCTATGTTCAAAAATATTGCCCATTATCTGTTACTATATCTACTTTTCCAAAACCCAAGAGACAGATTTTTTTGCTATTTTAAGCAACATTGGGATAATTCTTTTGAAACCAGGATTGCTGAACACTTCAGAGAAGCTTATCCATATGTTACTTTTACAGCTGCACTGTTTCCTTAATGTACAAGTTGCAATTAGCTTTCAACTAATTTTGAAGGTATAAAACCATTCCACAAATGTTTATTGTAGTGGCTTTTAAGTAAATGCAGATTCAGGATATCTGATTGATCTCTGCTAACACTGGTTGAACAAAACACCATGTCTTGGGATTGGTAAACTGCTTAAAAGGAAATTAGAAGCTTACAGTACTCTTTATGGTGCACAGAATAAGAAAAGAGAAGGAAACTATTTGACCCAGATTTAAACATGCTTTTTTTATCAAGGTTTTTGAAGAAAAAAGAACTGACACAATTAAGAGTGGACAGCATATTGCTGTATTAGAGACACAGAATATACAAATACTAATTCCTTCACCTCTTTCTTTTAGCTAAGTTATTTACAGAGATGTCTACTTTCCTGGGGTCTACTAAGGACTCCTAAACCATCAACGAAGCATCTTTCATTGATCCCACAACTTAAGATGTGTTTGAGATCAATAATTAATTCTGCTTTCTGTATGTAACCCAGGTCATGGAACCAATCATCCATTGATTTGAAGCATTTGAAGTTCAGAAAGTGTTTAAAAACATAATCACCTAGATCAGGGGTCTTCAAACTTGGCCCTTTTAACTGAACACCTGAAGTTGAGGGTCTTAAGGAGTCGGTCGCACGGACCGACTCCTTAAGACCCTTAACTTCAGGTGTTCAGTATTTCCCCGGTTCAGACTTCTGGGGACTGGATCCACAAAGTGTTATAAAATTGTACTTCGGTAAGGAAAAAGTCAAACATTACGAAATATAAGGTGAAAACATACTAGTGGAAGTAATCATTTTTGAAAGCTGCCCACAAAAGCTAAAGAAAGTAGGGGACATATAAAGTATTCCTGCCTGGAATACAAGATTGCAATTATAAATAGTCCTTGATTTATGACCATAATAGATCCTGCCCATCGTGGTTGTAATTTGTGACATGACCAAGCCCAATGTTTTGACCATGTTCACAGTGGCCATTACGTGAATCACTAGAGTCGTTAAGCAAATGCACAGTCGCTAAGTGAATAAGCAAACCAATGGTTTACTGCTGGCACAGGTTTGCCAAAAACAGAAGTAAATGCCAGTTTGGGGCAAAAATGTCATAAAGTGCAGTAATGTGACAGCAGGATGCTGCAAAAGACCATAAATGCATCCGGTTTGGGTCACCATACAATAAAAAAGATGTTGAGACTCTGGAAAGAGTGCAGAGAAGAGCAGCAAAGATGATTAGGCGCCTGGAGGCTAAAACATATGAAGAATGGTTACAAAAACTGGGTGTGGCTAGTCTAGTGAAGAGAAGGACCAGGGATGATGTGATAGCAGTGTTCCAATATTTGAGGGGCTGCCCCAGAGAAGAAGGGGTCAAACTATTCTCCAAAGCACCTGAAGGCAGGACAAGAAGCAACGGATGGAAACTGATCAAGGAGAGATTTAACTAGAAATAAGGAGAAATTTCCTGACAGTTAAAACAATTAATCAGGGGAGCAACTTGACTCCAGAAGCTGTGAATGCTCCAACACTGGAAGTTATTAAGAAGAGATAGGACAACCATTTGTCTGAAATGGTATAGAGTTTCCTGCCTGAGCTGGGTGTTGGACTAGAAGACCCCCCAAGGTCCCTTCCAACTTTGCTATTCTATTATTCTATTTTGTTATGCTGCTTTCTTTGATTTCTGCCCATTTTCAGTTCACAGACTTGTTCAAGGACAGATGTTGAAATGCTTTACCTGGTCTCCAGTGGTATGTTACTGTTCAGAACCCAACTGTTATGAAGATGCACAGAGTCCTGGGTATTCGGGGGCGATGGGGCGGCTGGATTCGGCTGGCTGCGGGTGGTGAGCGATCTGGCCTGGAGGGAATTGGCTGCTGAAGGAGGCTTTCGGCTGCAGGTGCACGCGTGGGGTGGTGGCGGCGGAGGTGGCAGGGGTCTGAAGGTAAACTGGTTGCGTGGGCTCCCTGGCATTTCTGAAATTCGAAGAGAAAGCAAACAAAACAAGAGGCCAAATTATTATTTTTCCAGCAATGGATGGAAACTAATCAAGGAGAGAAGCAATTGCCTGACAGTTAGAACAATTAATCAGTGGAACGACTTGCCTCCAGAAGTTGTGGGTGCTCCATCCCTGGAGGTTTCTAAGAAGAGACTGGACAGCCATTTGTCTGAAATGGTATAGGGCAGTGGTGGCGAACCTATGGCATGGGTGCCAGAGGCGGCACTCAGAGCCCTCTCTGTGGGCACTCGCGCCGTCGCCCCAGTCCTAGGCCTTCAGCTGGGTTTTATAAAACCTTTTTGCTTTAGGCCTCCGCTGTCGTGTGCAAAAAAAAAAAAAGGTTCAATCAATCAGTCAATTTTAACTTCTTGTGGGAAAAAAAAAGATCTTGCAAAGTTGGAATTGATTGATTGAACTTTTTAGTCCCACCCAGTCTGCCGTTACCACCGCAGCCGTGCCCACCCAATGGGCCACACCCACCCGGCACCCGACGATGCATAAGTGGGTTTTGGGTTGCAGTTTGGGTACTCGGTCTCTAAAAGGTTTGCCATCACTGGTATAGGGTTTCCTGACTGAGCAGGGGAAGTCCTTGAGAAGACCTCCAAGGTCCCCTCCAACTCTGTTATTCTGTTATTTTAAGCAACAAAAAAAAAACAGAGTGCCTTGGTCCCAAAGGATTATAACATTGCCTAGAAATTTAAGTCAATATATCAAAGATGCCACATTTTATTTAATTTTTTTGCATCCCGACTTTATTACTTTTACAAATAATATAAGGGGACAAATATATCCAACGTACCTTTCTCCTATTTTCCCCACAACCACAGTCCTGTGAGGTGGGTTTGGGCTGAGAAAGAGGAATTAGCCCAAGGTCAACCCAGCTGACTTTCATGGCTACAACAGGACTAGAACTCACAAGTCTCCCGGTTTCTAGCCTGGTGCCTTAACCACCAGACCAAACTTGGAGTTGCCTTGCAAATAGGTGCCAAACCCAGGAAGGTTCAGAGCTGACAGCTATCCGACTGCCCACACAGAACACCAGCTCATCTCCTCACTGAAGTGGTACCTATCTATCTACTTCAGTGGTTCTCAACCTTTTTAATGCCGCGACCCCCAACTGGTCGTAAGTCGAGGACTAAACCGGTCATAAGTCGAGGACTAAACCGGTCGTAAGTCGAGGACTACCCAACCGGTCGTAAGACGACGACTTTCCCTGCCTGGGAGTGCCGCGCATGCGTGGTTCCGCCCCCTGCTCCGGCCGAGGCGTAGCTGGCAAGCGGCAGAGACAGAGCAGGCCGACCACCAGCTGGCCCAGCTCAAGGGAGGTAAGGCACCCGCCGGAAAAGGGGAAAAAAATGGCGGACAAAAAAAATGGCGGACAGCCTTGCTTGGCGACCCCCATGAAATGGTCGATCGACCCCAAATGGGGTCCCGACCCACAGGTTGAGAACCGCTGATCTACTTGCATAGAACACACTCTCCAACTGTTAGGTGGACAGAAGCTGAGGCAAGTGACAGGAGCTCACCCTGCCCTGCAGTGCTAGGACTCGAACCTCTGGAGCTGAGAGTCCAGCGCCATTAAGCCCCTGAGCCACTGCGCCTCAGCAGATCTGTCACAACCCGAGAGTATACTACTACTCAGTCAACCCAACACTTCCTTTACCACCCACACTGAATTTAATTTAGGAGGAAATCAAACTGTGAAAGAAACATTCATCTTGCAAACATCGACATCTTTAAAGTTGAGACAGAAGAGGAGAAGCTGGTTAGTTCTAGCAAACTCTCTTCCTCTTAAGAAACTTTTTCAGGAATGAATGGATTCTTGAATGAATGAACTGTTTTACTGATGTGCAGTCTCTTTCTCCCTCTGAAAATGAAAGGAGAGAGAGAGAGAGAGAGAGAGAGAGAGAGAGAGAGAGAGAGAGAGAGAGAGAGAGAGAGAGAGAGAGAGAGAGAGAGAGAGAGAGAGAGAGAGAGAGAGAGAGAGAGAGAGAGAGAGAGAGAGAGAGAGAGAGAGAAAATGAGAGAATCAGTGACCAAGTCTTACCCCTTTTCTTCTTTACCATAGTCTCTACCTTTAGAAAAAGTACGATTTAATTAAACCTTCTACAAGAAACTCTTCGGCAATTATAATTACGTATTATTATTCGTCGTATTAGCCTTGGACCATCTAATCTAATTGACCGTCGTAAGCGTACTAAGAAAGGTGTCAATAGCCTTTTCTTTTTAATTTTGGAGGATTTTAGGACACAAACACGAAAACTAAGATAAGAGGCAGAAAGATTTGGCCATCACTAGGCACAAGTGCCCAATTTTCCTCATTTTACTGAGTCTTCTGAACATACATTTTGGCCGATAAAAAGCTGAAGAACTAGGTCATGAGAAGCATGCCTCACAGGCATGCGAGATTCTGCCCGCACGGGTGCCTAGTCCCCGCGGTTTTCTTGGGAACAACTCCGGGCTCCTACCGCTCATTGCATTTGATGAAAAAGAATAAGGTTCAGAAATTAGTTCAAAGCATTTGAGGTCCTGCGTGAAATTCTTCTAACTGCAATGCAGGATTTTGCATCACTTGAAGCCTCCCTTATAGCCCCCATCCCCCTCCAAATTAAGGATTTAATTACTTACTTATCTTTTTATTGTATTTATCAACTTTATCGGCTAACCCTATTTGTTTAGAGTAGTATCGTGGCAGTAACATAAAATATTTCACACTGCATTACAGTAAAAAATCATCAAATACAAGCCTTTCTTGACTTACAACAGTCCGTCTAGTCTAGTGACTTTTCAAAGTTACAATGGTGCTGAAGAAAGTGACTTATGACCGTTTTTCACATTTATGACTGTTGTAGCTTCCCCATGGTCCTGTGATCAAGATTCAGACGCTTGGCAACTGATGAAAAAAAGTCCTTTTGTCAACAAATAAGTCTTCTGCACTTGCCGTGCTATTGGTTAACTGCAAACTTATTTGTAAGCTTGGCTAAAGCTAAATGGAAGCCTTTCCATAGCACATTTGAAGAAATTACGAATTACTGTTTCTTCTCCGCCCCCAAAACGTGAAAATAATCAAACTGTTCCATCATTTTTTGACAGCACTCTAGTACCATATTGTTTGCTGCTGAAATTGCACATTTAAAGTAATGCATTAAAAAGTGATGAATCTTAGACATTTTGTATTTAACATGCAGGGCTCCACAAGACATGCTCATTTATTCCTTTTAAAGATCTACTTTTTTTTTTTTTGCAAACTATTAGGCATGCACAAAGCTTCAATAGGAAAGTGATTTCAATCTAATTACTTCTTCGGATTGAATCCCTCAACTGTCAACTGGTTTCATGAGATCATTGCAAAGTCGGTGCTTTGGAATGGATTAGAACAGTGGTGGCGAACCTACGGCACGCGTGCCAGAGACGGCACTCGGAGCCCTCTCTGTGGGCACACATGCCATTGCCCCAGCCTTGCCTCCCCCCATGACACCCTCCTCACCAGCAGCCCTCCTGGAGAAGAGTCGCCCCTGAGTGTCGCCCACACGGAGCAGTGCAGTCAAGGACATGGCAGCCAGGCAGTGTAGACAAGACTGTGCCCTCACGCCCCATCACGCACAGTTGATGCTGCGGGGCACAGGCAGAGGGCGTGGCTGCCATGGCGCTGCTAGGCGATCTGCGGTGGGCCCTGGAGGCGATGAGTGGCCCCGCGGGCAGGCGGGGTGGAGACAAAGCAGGGGCGGGGCAGGGGGTGGGATGGGGGGTGGGGCCAGTTTTTGGGCACTCAGTCTCTAAAAGGTTCGCCATCACTGGTTTAGAAATTCCAGCGGACTTTTCTATAGGTCCACATATGCTTTTTAATAACTCTTCCAATCAAATCAATTGGACAGCTCAAGTGGATTCTAATCAACGTCATCGAATTGCAAATATGAACTGGGTTTTGGATTCAGCCATAGTCCAAAAAATATGAATTAACCTGGTTTACTAAGAGTAGAAATTCTCCTTTTCCCTTGTCCTCCTTCTCCTTTCTCCTTTTCCTTCCTTCTCCTCCCTCCTCCTCCTTTTTCCTCCTTTTCTTTCTTCCTTCTCCTTCTCATTTCCCTCCCATCCTTCTTCTTCTCTTTCTCCTTCTTCTTCTCCCTCTTCTCCTTGGTCCTCCTCCTCTCCTTCCCTTCCCCCTCTTCCCTTCTTCTACAGCAGACATGTCAAACACAAGGCCCGGGGGCCGGATGCGGCCCGCGAAGTGGTTTCATGTGGCCCGCGAAGCCATCCTGGAAACAGTGAGGGAACGGCCCCCGCTGCCTTGGCCCTGGCCCAGGACAGCCGGGAGGGAGCCAATGTACAATTTTGTGGTGGCCATCTATGCTGAAATGCATTCAGTCTTAGCTCCACAAGGCCATCTAGAAACAGCGAGGAACCAGCCCCTGCCATGTCGGCCCCGCCCCCTGGGTGCATGTTGGGGAGGTGTCACACTTTGTGAGGAATGAAGAAATGGACCATGCCTTGGCGCTTGCCCCGGTCCCACCCTCTTCTGCCAGAGACCCTCAGATCTGTCCCACTCCTGCCCAGGCCCCCACAGGCACCCTTGACGCGAACGGTGTAGAGCTGGCCACGCCCACCCAGTAGGCCACACCCACTCCATCCATGCTCACCCAGTAGGCCGCACCCATCCTGGCCACACACCCCCACCCCCCCAAGGGCAACCGCAATGCTGATGCGGCCCTCAATGAAATTGAGTTTGACACCCCTGTTCTACAGGGACATCCATATTTTCAGCCCTCATTTCCATATATTTCATGGTATGCGGGCTTATATTTAATGCACGTATCAAGATGGCCAAGAGCTGTATGCATAAAAATAAACAACAAACAGTATGAAGAGGGTACTGAGGAGAAGAGGAACTGCACCAGGAAGGGAAGAAAAAGGATGGAAAAAAGGAAGAGAAAGGGATAAAACGGGGGGAGGATTGGGGAGAAATCCTCCAGATGAATA